ATTTGGATCATATTAAAGATATAAACTCAGGCAATAAGCATATCTAGTGACTCGCACCAAACAGTTGAGATTCCTAATGATTCGTGACGGGTTCTGGAACCAATCCCCGCGAAAGCTCCAGGTATTACTGTAATTCTAAGATGTCGATATCTCTGTGCTGTCCGATCGCTTAGACCATTTAATGGTATATGTGGAGGACTGAGCAGTTGGTAACTAACGGCGCGAAAAGAAACCGTTGAAGGGCTGTTATAGCGGGTTGCAAAATGCGTTCTGAAAATTCTATACTGTGTAAGGAGATCGATTTCATGCCAGACCTTTCCGAGTTAGTACACAAAAACAAACTAAATGGTTTCAGATATCAGAATAAGCTACCTGGTCTACCTGCTGGTACGGCCTGTTGGTTGACTCCTTCCTTGCTTAGATACGCATTGATTATTTTAAGAACCTCGTCACACAAGGGCTCAGAAGGGTTTGAATCCAATCCGTTTGTACAGTTCGTTGTCCTGCCAGTACTTTCCTCTACAGAGGGGACCTCAAAGGCGAAAAGTGTATGGTTTTCCTTTCGAAAGTTTAATATTTCCTCCGGTTCGAGTATTCGCACGTTTTGTCCATTGACTTCGGCAATAACATACTAGAAAAGTGATATCAAAAGAGGAATGTAAACAGGCGACAATACACAGTTTGGCCGAACTGCCTCAGTATCATGCAAAAGATGGATTACCAAATGGACATTAGTCAAATTTCATTTTTGTGTGCGATTCTTAAAGCTAATACAAACCAATTTTACCATAAAACCCAGACAATGGGCCCCGTGGCAACTCAGGTTACATTTGGCTGTGTTGCTTTAACCTCAGAATGGCCCTAATTCAGTAGAAGGAAGGAGGCATGATAAAAAGCTGGTATACGATCATGCACGCACATTCTTGAAAAGATGCCCAATGGTCATGATACGTGAATATTCACGCAAGCTATATTTTGAGGCATGCTTAAATTTGTCAATGCTTCCTGAATAACTGAGTATACTGCAAAGATCTGCAGCAATGTGGGTTCCTCTGCGTCAGTCGCGTATTAAATTGCCTTCGACCATGGGATGAGGGGCTATAAGCGTACAAAATCAAGAGTTGGAAAGATGAACATGGTTGGCGCGAGTAGCTCGGTTGTTAGTCTCGATAATATCTGTAGCATAGCTGGGTGAGTTTAATACTTTCCCTCCGGCATGTGGGAATTGCTTCAAACCAAACTAATTTAACAACGAATACTTTGTCTATTACAGTATTCGCCGGCTATTAAGCCCACCTCGGGCCCAGACCAAATCGGGCTTAATAAGC